AAAGTGCGAGAAAATGCCAAAAAATAATAATAGACCATATTAGGTTATTTCCCAGATACAAGAGTCATTATTCATACTCTCAGAACCCAGATAGCTTTTCGACTAACTTATCTAACTTTTATTCGGAAGATGTATTGTTTGTATCGTCGTTTTTATTGGAATTTGGAAGGTTTTGTGCAAATTCATCTTGTCGCTTGCTTCTCTTGGGAAATTTAACTTTGTTGCACAAAATTGGTCCAAAAAACAAAAATGTGTTTTTCTCGCCAACGAAACGAGCTAAGTAACTGTTGAGCTCACAATCGTCGTTTTTACTGGAATTTAGAAGGTTTTGTGCAAATTCATCTTGTCGCTTGCTTCTCTTCGGAAATTTAACTCTGTCGTACAAAATTGGTCCAAAAAACAAAAATGTGTTTTTCTCGCCAACGAAACGAGCTAAGTAACTTTTGAGCTCACAATCGTCGTTTTTACTGGAATTTAGAAGGTTTTTGTGCAAATTCATCTTGTCGCTTGCTTCTCTTCGGAAATTTAACTTTGTCGTACAAAATTGGTCCAAAAAACAAAAATGAGTTTTTCTCGCCAATAAAACGAGCTAAGTAATTTTTGAGCTCAAAATCGTCGTAAGAGGGCGAAATACCTATGAAGCAGTCATACCACCGCTATATTTTCAATACGAATTTTAATTTAAAGCTTCATTATCCACATTCTGTAATAAATGCGACCAATTGAGCAACTCAGTTTCGGCATCCCATGCAGACATAAAAAAGGAAGAAGTAGAATTAGATGTCCATAAAAGGAAAATCAAAAAAGCGTTAAATAATAAGAACACAGATATCGAAAAGAGTAAAAGAGAAGAACACAGTAGCTATCTGCTTTAACCTGCAGAAATCGCATCCAACTCGCTTTTTTATTTCAGTTTATACAAAATCTGCCGAAAAATATAATGAATGATATGCTTATAGTGAATAGCAAAAACATAGCAAAGGTAAATATGTATATAATTCTCACGGTGGCGATCGAAGCGTCGCCCTGATTGAAAAACTAAAGATGAAAAACCCTCAGGTTTTTATAGCCGATTGCGGGCTGAAATTTGTGGTTCATAAAACGGCAGATTTTGTATCCATTTCAAAATATTTAAACAATAATATTAAGAATTCAAAAAACGAAAAAATCAAACTAAAAAATGGAGAAACATATGATGGTTTTCATACAATAAAAACCAAACAGATCAGTTTTCCTTTAAAAAAAACGGATGAGGACTTTCCATTTTTTCAACCAGAAAAATACTTACAAAATGTTGAGCATCCAGAAATCAAATTAAAATTGGAGGTTATTTACCAAGAAAAACTAAAACATTAAATATGAGAAACGGGAGAATTTACAAAAGTTGCTCGATTTTATTTCCTCCAATAAACCATCAATTTTATAAAGACCTGCCCTATGAGCCAAAGCCGCGAAAAAGACAAAATAAACGACCAGCAATCCAGCTGAAGGTTCGCAAATTGAAAATGTCTAAGAACAAGACAATAATTACATGAATTTGTTGTCAGATTGAGTAAATGTAGGGTGTTGCATTGCTAAACATTAATTTTTGTGGAAACTATTCAAATATTTAAAAAAAATCGTTTTGTCGTTTCTGTATTTTTTTATAATTTGTTTTAATTCAAAGGAAAAAATACGTGCTTTTTCGTTTAAAAATTTATTTAATTTTCTTGAATAATAGTTTTTGCAGCTAAGATTTTCCAATGTAAAAAACGTTGACGATTCATTTCTCTAAATAAACTTACCATTTTTTTCAGTCAGAAACATGGTCAAAAATGTTGCATCCAGTAGGTAATTAATTTAAACTTAGAAGTTCTTTATCAAGAAATCTAAAAATTTATTATGAGAAATAGGAGATTTTACAAAAGTTGCTAGCCTTCATTCCATCAATATATCATCATTTTTATAAAGACGCGCCCCATGTGCCAAAGGCGCATAAAAAGACAAAACAAAAGGCCAGCAATCCAGGTGAAGGTTTGCAAATTGAAAATTCGGCAATTTATTTTGAAAATCGCTGTTCAAACCGCCAAACTCACCGTGCGCTACGTTCATTTGCGGTCGACATAATCGTGTTTGGCTCAATGGTTGTGTAAATAAACAAAATTGCCGGATTTTGTCTCACTGTTTTTTTATAGGCATAGTTAAGCTATAGGCATACAATTGCATTTTCAATAAAGCCAGATCAAAATTATTCCTGGGTTTCAGTCATTTATTGTCTCTATTTATCAATTAAAATACGTTTAGGTGTATTTTTCCTCCATCATCAGTTTTTCTAAAATAACAGATTAGAAAATTTTTTTTCTCAACTATCTGTTATTTTAGAAAAACTGATGATGGTGGAAAAATACACCGAAACGTATTTTGATTGATAAATAGAGACAATAAATGACTGAAACCCAGGAATTGATTTTGATTTGGAATTGAAACACAGTCAGGAAAGTATGTACAATAAAGCCAGTACCATCACGTTTACATGATTTTATTGAGCTTTATTTCAGTTTAAAGTTCTATACCTCTAAAAAAACACCCATTAGTAAACTTTTTGGACTAAATTTGAATCGTTCTTTAAGCACAAACTACTTTAACTTATAAGTAAGCTAAGAATTTTCCAAAGTAAACACCTTTGACGATCCATTTCTCTAAATAAACCTTTTGTAGCTTAGGCGGTTTTGCTTTTAACTCCTTCATTTGTATATTTAAGTGTACATTTTTATGCGAAAAAATACCAACAAAATTGGCCACACATATTTGGTCGTATTAATTCCAACTGTTGCTTGTCTAGGTGATTTGGGTATCTTCATAAAAAGCGTAATCAATGGGGGCGCCGCGTCAAGAGACAAGAGACTGAGAACGAACGATCAGCTACTGAACGTCAATGGAAAGTCGCTGCTTCAGCAATCGAACAGCGACGCAATGGAAACGCTGCGCAAAGCCATGTTGCATACTGAGGGTCCAGTGCCTGGAAACATCACGCTGATCATCGCCAGACGTGCTTCGTCTCCCGGCTCTTCAAGGAATCGCTCCAATGAGAGCTTGCTCAATGTTTCTCAAACATCTCCGGTGAGAATGCAATAACAGGTTGTTGATCAATTGAAGCAACTGTAAATTCTTCAGGATTTGTACAACTCCCAAGACACAGCGAGCGATCCATCCGGCGAAAATTCCAACTCAAACGCTTCCAACGGGTCGACTAATACCGTCATCTACAACCCGCACCAGAATGGCATGATTCCCAACCAGTTGAGTCCCATGCATACCTGGAACCCAGTGCTAGAGCGGCTAACTGGTAAGCGCAAAAAACGCCCCAAACGGCTATAAAGTATTGACTTTTTCTGTCTATTTCTTAGGTAAGCAACAGCTACGCAACGAGAGCTACTATAAAGCTACACACGATACCTGGAGTAACAGTATGTTAGCGAATAGTAGCGCTTTGGGGAGTCTGGGCGGCACCACTGTGGTCAACTTGAGCACGGCTGAACCGATCTTGATAGAGGACGAGTACGGGTCTAGAGTGGTTCCTATTCAAAATCAGCAACAGTAAGTTCGAATATTTTTGTAAAACTCTTGCGTAATATAGGGGAGACGCTGATATACTATTTTCGATGTTACTAGGGCAAACGTGTAAATTGGGGGGTATGTTCAATTTAATGCATGAAGTGTTCCTAGAATCCAAGAAATGTTTATGTGACCGGCCCCCGTACTTTTCTGGAATATAAGGTGGACTTGATGTTGCCGCATTACAATTTCATTGGTCGCTGTACTTTTTAGTCGAATTTCATTGGTCATATTGTCTTATTTAGATTTATTTCCATTTGAAGAATCTACCTTATTTTTATCAGACTTTGTCGTTGCATTGCGCGTATATTGAGTGTTTACGCAGTATTTTTAAGCTGTATTTTATTATTATTATTATACCATAAAGATGCCATTTTGGCGATTAATGTTAATAGCGTATTAAGTTCTGAAGACTGATAGTGTCTAATGAATATTAGGCCTGGGTAACACTGTGTTGAGTTGCGCTTTTGAGTTGTTGCCGCAATTGGTTAATGAGTTATAAATCATGGCCGATGACGAAATTTTAACATCTAACAAGAAAAAGCCATCAACATAAACTATTTGGTCTAAAACGGGGAAAAATCCGGAAATTTTGAAGAAGTTTTAAAAAGTTGTATGCGAAAATACCCTCTATGTCTTATTTCTTCGGCATCCGAAAACACTTTCTTACCAGCATAATTTTCGAGAATTGTAACAAGTTTGTCCAGATTTTTCATACAGATGTGCATAATTTAAAGTCTTTAGAAACCGTTGGCACTGCAATGTTATCAATTCTCACATCATTGGCCACGACAAGAAGCGCGGAAAAGTCGGTGCAATTTTCGTTTTACACTACAAAATAATATTTTAGAATTTAATTGATATCCATAAAATTTTTACCTTCGATTAGGAAGTTGAAACTTGTAGTGTACGTGGGATCTTGGCTCAACATACACGCCAAATTCAAGACCCAAGGCACAATCTTATTATATCAAAGCAATTTAAACAATGCAAAAATAAACATGTAAAAACCTTCACAATAAATTGTCTACATGCTTAACCTTACGAGAACATGCACAAATTCTGGTGGACTGTGTAAATGAAAAAAAAACATTTAAATTACATTAAAATAGTTACTTTCGGAGTGCATAAAACCTTGGACTGAGCAGAAGTAACAGAAATAACTAAAACGACGGTTCGACGACGAAGACACAGTGTGTTAAAATATGAAGCGAAAAATCACTATTAAACTGCTTAACAATATCAGCATTAATTACAGTGACAAATTTCGACTAATTTTGGAACTGGATAAATATTGAATGTTGCGTGCGAATTGATTTCTATTTGAAGCGTTATTTAGTGCAATTTTTTTTCGATTAGTGTGTTTTTCGGAAAAAATTGGTGCTTTAGAGTTTCTACAGAGTGAAAGAGGGTCAGCTGGACAGAAAAAAAGAAAAGTTTTGGGTTTTATTGCGGATCTCGTTTATTTACAGATTGACCTAAAAAGCAACTTTTTGGTCTTGCAGCCAAATTTGTTTCTCTAGAACTGATTAAAAATCTAGGGCTTATGTTGAAGCGAAAAATTCACAGTAGACTTAAAAAAAAATTATATACCAGTATGCATGAATGAACGAAATATTTGAAATTATAGTTCACTTAGTTGTAAATCTTCCAGACTCGCGCATTTGGGAAGCAAAATCGAATTTTCTTCTTAAATTGTTCATGAATGTTTAGCTTCAACATGAGCTCAAGATCGTGAAAATTCATCCAAGGTCAGAAAAGATATCGCTGCAAGACCAAAAAGTTGTTTTTTTGAGACAACCCCATTAATGGAAGAGATGGCCGAAAAATTCGAGAACCTTATCTAGCTATTTGGTTTACCTTTAAACTTTTGGTATTAAGACCCAAAAAACCTTTTTTTTATCCAACTAGGAGCATGCCCTACTTTCCGATTTTTTGCAGTTTTTTATTTGCCGCCTTAATTTTTATTAAAACACTGATTAACAGAGACCAAATCGGGCTCAATAACGCTTCAAACAGAAACCAAATCGCTCCAAGCAATCAGAATTTATCCACTTCCAAACTTAAGTTTTAGTTAGAGTTTAAATTACAATATTTTGCATCTTTAATACTAAGAATGTTGGTGTGCGGTAGCAACAAAAGCTGTCCATTTCAACCAATAATTAATTGCGAATTGCAATGTTTTTCTTTTAAAGAATCAATGTGCATATGATGAACAAGCCGAGCCACATAAATCACAATCGAGAAGAACACGAGCCGGATGGCAAGGCGGGTGATAAGAGCGCTGAATCAGCTTCCCAAACAACTATTCATGGCACTGATGCAACGTATTCCAGCCAGCTGAGTCTGGAAAACCCGCAAGGGTTTTCTAGGTAAAGTTTCACATGTTTTTCTATGAAATTGTATTTTTTACGAAAGTTTTTCAGGGATGCGTTTGGACGGCAAAGCATGTCCGAGAAGCGACACGCCACATTGGATGCCAAAAGTACGGATACTTACCAACGCACCAAGAAAATGCGCGAGGACAGAATCAAAAAAGAATGTAAGTTTTTTAAAAATTGATTAGGGTTTTTAACTGAACAATTTATTTGATAGTCGAATTTTGTATTGGGTTGTTGAAAAATGCAATTTTTTACTGCTTACACGATTTGTAGCCTGCCATAAAGGGTTATTTAAATGTTTCATTATGTATATGTGCTAACAGTTGTTCGTAGTGGCAATGTTTGGCTAATTTTTGTGTCTCATTTCCATGTAATAGCTAATATAGTGCGAGTCGGCTCAGTGGAATCAGTCATAAGCGTGAATCGATCATCAGAACATCCTGAGTGTAAGCATTCACTTTTAGCTGTGTTTTAATAACGTTACTAGAAATTCATCTGTGATTCATGCATGCTTCAGTTGTAAACGCACATTTTGTTTTGGGACACATTAGAAAATGCTCCGATTTTTAGATGCTGATAAGCTGGCCGAACTTGGACCGTCGCTTGGCATGAAGAAATCGTCCAGTTTGGAGTCGCTGCAAACCATGGTCCAAGAGGTAAGTTAAAGTGCACTTTACAAACTTAAAAAATGCCTAAGAAATCACATTTGTAAATATAATTTTCTTCAGATTCAGATGCAAGAAGAAGGGGACCCCGCATACAGTTACAGAGGCCCATCGGGGGCCCTGAAAGTTATCAGAGGCAGAGGCAGCGAGGAGACATTTAGGGCTGCAGTAGTTGATCCGAATCATCGCAACGAAATGGGTTTGTTCTGATGCCGCCCGAAGTTTTCCGGGTTGTTAATAACAGTTGACTGTAGGTGCGAAAAAACATTGGCTTTTGGATGGCCCGGTGGAAGAACGCGAGATCGATGGATTTACGAACGTTAGAGGCGGGCCGAGGCAGTCCTCACTCAATGCCGCGTTGGACACAAAAAATAAGCCCTGCAAAAAGAAGCCGGGCATTTTTAAAGGGATCGGCTCCATGTTTAGGTAAGGTAATGAAGCATGTGGCTCCGGAGACGATCGACTTGCACTTGGACTGAATTAGTTGAAAATGACATCAAAACGTTTGAGTAGGTTTGGAAAGCATCGCAAAGTGGAGCTGGTTGAACCTGTGCAGCAGTACCACCAAAAAACAAGCGAGTTCGAGAGCGCTCTGAATGTATCACAGTATTCACAAAATTCCGACCATCAGCAGCAAAGTGAAGACAATCAAAGCCATCATTCCCATAGTTCTCATAATACGGACTGCAGTCAACATAAACAACATGGTGAGTGCTTAGAAGAGTTTTAGTCCCGATTTTTGAACTGTGTGACTTTATTGCTTCCAACGTTGATTTATTTAAAATAGCGTGTTCTTGCTGTTTCAAATATTCAAGCAATTTTTCTGCTAATTGTCCGATGGACATTCGAATCTGTGTTTGCTCTCGGGTTTCGTTTTATTATGTTTTGATATTTCTGTTTTTTCAGTCGTAACTATTTTTCTTCTGTTAATTTTTAGCGGACCGATCACAAGAACTGACTCCAACTCCAACTCCGGCCGTTCAGCCACATGTTACTCTTAATACTCAGCAACACCAGCAACGAGAACAGCAGATCCAAAGGGAACCCATTTATCAGCGACATGGGTTCGTTCATAGACACGCTGAGCAGGTTCAGGTACGCATGATTTTTTAACTAGCTTCTGTCGTTGATGTTTTTTATTATTTCCTTTTATGTTTTGTTGCATCGATTTCTAAAACATGTTGATTGCAACAATTGCAGTTAGCCAGAATCATAGAATGATTGTTTAGAAAGATGCAGTAGTTTTATACACTTTTAGAATCGATAGAAAGATGAAAGAATAGTAAACGCACATTTGACTGTGCTTTTTTGATTATTTCTTGTGAGTGTGTTTGTTGAGTACCGTCGTTCGGGGTGAAGTCTGACGATTTTTTCAGTTTCGTTTTAATAAAAAGTATAATGTTGAAAAGGAAATTTCCAATAAATTAATTTGGAGTCTTCCGTGTCTCCTTTGTCGAATTAAATGATACA